GTGTGTGTGTGTGTGTATGTGTGTGTGTGTGTTTGTGTGTGTGTGTGTTTGTGTCTTTGTGTGTGTGTGTGTGTGTGTGTGTGTGTGTGTGTGTGTGTGTGTGTGTGTGTGTGTGTGTGTGTGCGCGCGCTTGTGCATGTGCGTGTGCGTGTGTGTGTGTGTGTGTGTGTGTGTGTGTGTGTGTGTGTGTGTGTGTGTGTGTGTGTGTGTGTGTGTGTGTGTGTGCATGTGCATGTGCGTGTGCGTGTGTGTGTGTGTGTGTGTGTGTGTGTGTGTGTGTGTGTGTGTGTGTGTGCATGTGCGAGTGTGTGTGTGTGTACGTGTGTGCGTGCATCTATAATTTGGATCATCTGCAACTTCATCTAGATCATGAAACCGCTGCTTTTGTGGCCAAGGTAGTCATGATACTGCTCGGAATTGGGTGTTGCGCCACCTGCCATGGTGAGTGAATACCCGAAGCTGCAAATCACATCATTCCGTAATAGATGTGTATCAAGGGTACACTGCTGACTAGATTAGTTACTAAAAGAGAGAGAGAAAGAGGGAGAGAGAGAGAGACAGACAGAGAGAGAGAGACAGAGAGACAGAGAGAGAGAGAGAGAGAGAGAGAGAGAGAGAGAGAGAGAGAGAGAGAGAGAGAGAGAGAGAGAGAGAGAGAGAGAGAGAGAGAGAGAGAGAGAGAGACGGACAGAGAGAGAGAGAGAGTGAGAGAGATTATTTGATTTTATGTATATTTATTTACAGATCATTGTACATGCCCTGCGAAAACCAGGGTAAGATGCTATAGCATCTATCCAAACTGGCTGTGCTTCTATTTAAGTAGAGGGTTGTCAATCAAACTGGTTTTACATACCTAAAGGGCTGTGTCATTCTGTTTACATTATTCACGTATCATTTAGTTGGTAAAACACCTTTTATATTACTAATCATATTAAGAAACAAGACCACTTTCTATAATGAAACTGATATAATCAATAAGTGCTGGTCCCCGGACAGTGCTATTTGATCGATAGGATGAAGTTTTCGAGGAACAAAGTAAGGAATGTGTAAGATTATGCGACTTGGGTGCCTTGCACATTATGCAGTGGTGATATGAGGCTTTGCCTCCGAAGCTGCATCCTGTACATGATATATAGTGTACTGATATCCTATGCGTAGGCTAGTTACTGAACTTGCTCTTGTCGAGACAGTCCATTACAGACTTTAGATGTCCCTGCAATACTTTCGTAATGCCAAATGGTGTCATGTCCATTTTTCTCCAATTTTCGATTGCCCATACCTGGGCCTTATAACTTCGAAGACAGCTAAAAACATAAGTGATAATGATACTGCATAGTATTGTTCTTCATGGGGAAGTGATAGTTTTGCTAACTAATCCACTTTGTCACAGGTTATTCTTTTTTTGTATGAAAGGGTATCCAATATAGTGACACTTATATACCCTGCTCTGATAGGCTAGAAATTTGGTTACCATGTTTCCTGGACTAAAATCATTAAGTCTATAGAGTGCACCTTGGCTGTCAGAGAAGACAGCTAGGTGTTCACAACCTTTTTTGATGACATAGTATATGACTACTGACTCGGCATCAGGTGTGCTTGCCCAGTTGGAAATTCGTACTGTCTTTACGAGCAATATCAGGAATTAATGCATCAATCCCAGCTGCTTCATGAGGATCAGTAGAGGTATAAGTAGATTATAAGTGGGGGGGTTACCATGAGGGAGATGGAGAATTTCATCTGTATATTTCAGATAAAGGCCTTTTAATTCTGTTATTGAAGTCATGGATTTAGGCCCTGTTGATTTGTCAATATGAACGTATACGTGTGATCTATGCCATGGTGTAGTAAGTATTGCTTCTGGAATGTTAATAGCATCAGTGTTCCACACACTGAAGCTTAGAATAATTTGGGCAATTTTTGCCTTCCGTTCTAAGTTTGAGTGTATCAGACTGCTCTCATATCAAGAAATTTTGCAGTCATTGGGCTCCTCATGGCCTTATTTTGTTAGACTTCAAGGGATTTGAGACCATTCTGGGGCATCATACTAAGAACCGGGCCTCGCAGTCTGCCATGGATCTAACAAGGGATATATACATCAATATTAGGACTCAGGGAAGCACCTATTTATCTGTTACTTATGTATTGTAACAGATGAAGCGAGAATTGTGGGACATGAGCTGAGGAGCAATTACCATAAAGCCAAGATACTTATGGGTGTCAGTTTTTGCAATAACTTGTCCACCTAATCTTGGAATATATGACAGTTTATGAGATCTGGAAATGTACTTAACACCCCCTTCCCCCTATCAAAGACCTGAATGATAATGTCATCTGCATAGGGTGTGATGCTGCATAGGTCTCCTAACTCACTGTTAAGTTTGCAAAAGAGAGTTTATAAGTAAGTTAATCACAGAGAGAACACCAGAGTGAGGAATGAAGAAAGAAAAATGGTAAAAAATCTCTTGAATATTTGATTCGGTGGGCGGCAACGGAAAATTTACGATTCCATCCGGTTAAATAGTGAAGGATACAAAACTCCACCTTGTGGAGTGCCTAACTCCAGTTCACCATAAGCACTGTAGCTGATGTGGTATCATTATTTTGCTATTCTCAAAAATAGACAATCCTTTATCCATAGCAGAAGCTTGCCCTTATCTCCTAGAAGAGTTAATGCCTGGAAGTTTGCTAAATACATGTGTGTTCCTTTCCGTTTTGGGAAACCAAAGACTGATTGACGAATTTGAGCTTTGATCTGCTGGAAGAGACAAGCGAGAATTCTTTCACAGGTTTTAAAGAGGATGTCAGAGAAATTGGTCTAAATTCATTAGGTCATCTTGGTTTTAGGTTGTGAATAATGGTGGCTTGTTTTCAGGCAGTGGGCAAGATGCCTGTAATATAGGTTAAGTTGAAGAGATCAAGAAGAGGATTTCTTCCCTTTGCCTGTACCTTAGCAAGGAGTCGGATGATGTCAAAAGTGATTCCATCATGCCCATATGCAGCGGATTTGCTAGTCTTAATGGCTGTAAGAAGTTCATGACCTGTGAATGATTCATCAGCCTCATCTAAAAGTTGGCATTGACAGTCAGTGTCATTTTTTGTGTTTTAACTTAAGGGAGCACCTGTGTATGGATAATGGAAGATTATCAAGAACTTTCGCAGCATTTACTGAGGAGTGACAAAGCTACCCTTTCTGGATGAGGGTGGGGAGCTTCATTGTATGCATTGCCTTTTAGCTTCTTGATTTCCTTCCACACATTACTCATGGCAGTCCTAGCTAAATAGGGGTCCCTAGCCAAGTAAAGGCATCATCCCAAGTGCTTAGCTGATTTACTGTAGAGCTTATGAGCTTTCCAAGTAGCTTTCTTTCAGGATGTTTGTTCAGGTAATATGTTCATTTGCCTCTGGAGGATGGAGACCTATGTTTGACAGGGTTTCTGTGGTGGAGTTGGTTGATGATGTAAGCAACTTCTTAACAGAGAGTTTCATTAATATGATCAAGGCTGGTAGAAGTAAAGTCTTCATACCAGTAGCTAATCCTTTTAATAATTATTAAGCCATCATGATGTTTAGTAGCAATATGATATCAAAGACGTGGCTGGGGTGGGCTTCTTTTGCAAAATGGGAGTTATACTTAATGCCCAATGATCACTGACTAAGAATGGGATGATTTTTGTTGTATTTGGGAGTGTGTGCTGATTGTAGTGTTATATAATCTAGGTAATGAGTCCTTTCTAAGGGGCACAATAGGTGTATGGGGCTGCTAGCATTTTGGAGACAGTCATAATAAACCTTGAGGTTTACACAGTCCAACAGGGAGGGACTCTCTGTTAATGTAAACAGTAAATGGGAGGTCATGTCAATGCAAAGTAATTTTGGCAATATTGGTGGGAGATCTATAACGGCTTCTAGGGGGGATGGTCTAGCAATGTACTGATACTGATACTTTATAGTCCATGGGGCAGGCAAGTAAGTCTTCTCCACAATCTGACCAAAACTTGTTGTAGATATGGCAGTTTGCTGGGGAGATGTAAGTATTGAGAGAAGGATGAGGTTGGGCAGGAATAGGATTCCCAGGGAAGTCAATTAGGGTTGATAATGCTATAGTTTGGGATTCGGGTGTAACTGACAAGCCGGGAACAATTGGGTAGCTGTGGAAGGAAACTTTGCCTACTAATTTTTTGGAGGCATTGCTGGAAGAGGAGAGTACTATCAGAAGGGGCTGTGGGGGAATTATGAAAATTAATTTCATTTGGCTAGGCTAAACAGAGTATTCAAGATATTTGTAGAAGAGGGGGTAGTAAAAGGCAGTACTGTAAAGAAACAAACATATCAAATCCTTAACCCAATGCCAATAGGCATGACGTGTACGTATGTGCTATGCCCACTGTGAGTTACTTGTTTGATTGTTTTTACACATAGATGGCTAAACATGTACTAAGTCACCAATATTTTACGTTATCTTATTTTGCTGTTACTAATGTTTATAACATTAAAATAATTATAATGTTCATTATAAAAATAACATCGATATTAATAGCACTGGTAAAAAATACGTTTTTCCCACCAATTCAAATCAGGTAAGGTCACAAGGTCTACTTATTGACTCTTTTGTGGCTAAGCATTAGCAGAGCCATCTATGTGCAGAGACATTTCACAAAAAATATAGAAAATGAGCACAGCATTTTCCCCATTTTTTGTTCATTCTCCCTGGCGGCATTAGGTTAAATATCACTGAGATTTCCTTATTGTTATTGAGCCTGTTCTAAGTTTTAGGCTTTTTGGCACTGACTGCAAACACTAAGGGGATACAGCCCTTCGGAAATAGGCTTAAGGTCTCCTTTTTGCTTCAATTACTATAGAAACTTATATGTCACAGCTTATGGCACAAAGAGAGGGTTAAACATGTTTCCATGCTTCTAATTTTTCACTCAAGCACAAATCTCTGAGTGGCTTGCTATGCCATGGGGAACTCCTGCCATGAATGGGTTAAGAAGTGTAAGTTCTTACAATTCCAATTATTTATTGGCAACTTTGCTCTTTTTTACATATCAATTGTCAGTTAGTTAACAATATTGAATCCATCATGTAATAAGTCAAATATATTTCTTGTGCACAACACAAGACAGTATATTATAGTTTATGGGGAGGAAATACATGCATAAACATGAAATATAGTAAAACTTCCAATGAAAATATCTTCCCCATTAACATTCTAAAATTAAGGTTCTTATGAATACTATTTTCTCCAAAATTATCTAATCAAATGACTAGATTTCTGTGACACATTTCTTTTGGCAAGATCTTTCTGATAATAGAAAACATTTTGAAAAAAATAAAATAAAATAAATACTGAACATATATCACTTAATGATCTATCAACAAAACATATAAGAAATATCAACCCTGAAATTATATAAGCTAGAGTAATGACAATTCACTGTAAGATGACTAAATAAAAGCTATATAAGACAGTTTACATATGTATTTCAGTATAAAGGTTTGTTTTCTTTGATTTGACCTGATGGATTGTACGGGTCTTCTCATGACGTAATACAAGTTGAGGATGACTGTCAACATGGACAGCTCAGATTCAGCAGACATGTACTTCAATGCTTGATGTGAAAAACACCAATGGTACTTATATATCTACCGTGATGTATTCTCTGTTGATAAAGTTTAATCTTTAACAAACAATGGAGGCAGTTTCGAGTACTCTTTATATAATCAATAATCTTTAGTGAAAAACAGTAACTTCACTTCTCTTCATTCTTTTTATTATCAAAAAACGTACTTGCATCAGCTGGAGTAATATCATTTTGCAAAGCGTAAGAGCAGAGGTCCCTCTTCATGGCATATGCATCTTCACCATCAGCATAATATTTTGGCTCGATCTCTGAAATTCTGCGGGAAATAGAGGGATAATAAATCAAACATATATCTGCATGTTGCAAATTTCCTTTTAAATATATTCTGTGCTTAAATAAAGCCACATTAAATGGTTATGTCATTAAACCACTGCATAATTCTTCTTGATAGAGAAGGGTACTTGATTTTGCTTCACATAATTAAAGTATTTTAGAACACCATATTGCAGGACCAAATTGCAGGACCTATCTCCACTTAATTGCAGGACCTCTTCTACAAAAAAAAGTTAGATTTTCAAAATTTGTATTTACATGAGATCCTGCAATATAAGAAAAACTTTTTGGTATTTGTTTTGGTCCTCTCTGATGTAATCTGTTTCCTAAGATAAATTTTGGAATTAGTTGTTACAGCAACATATGAAATATGCCTATCATATTCAAATATACTTTTCATTATACACAACGCTTGAATGAAAATAGGAATTACAAACTATGTGCATTATGAAAAATCTTCAAAAAGAAACGAAACTTACGTGAACTTCAGTGTATTAGTGTACAAATTGAGGGCAGCTCTGTTAGATTTTCTCACGTGCAGTGAAACATATTTTGCATTGAAACATTCTACCATTGCTCGTGCTGTCTGGTCCATCAACTTCTGTGCCAACCCTAAGCGCCTGTGAATAAATAGGAATCTCAGAAAGTGTTTTATACTTGGAACTTGGAACATGCTGAAATAATCAAATTTCCATTATAAGCTATAATGGTTATGACCTTTGGCATAAGATAAAAAGTAAATCTTCACACTGTATGATTACAGTACCAAATTTAATTCAAAGATTACTAGACTGAAGACCTGAACTTTGACAATACATTTTAATGTATTTCTTAACCTGTTGGATCTTGGTGCTCAAAATCCAGGCATTAAGCTTACTTGAGTGTTGACTCCCGGGTGTGTGGCTTCTAGGTCTGGCCAACACAAACACTTGCCTTCCTTTTGCAATGTTATTAGCTGTTTTCTGCCTAAGCATTTTTTGCTTTTTGGCCATCTTCTAAGGTCTATATTGTCATTTGATATGATGTATCAAGATGGCAATAGACAGTATTCCCTGCACAGACTCAATATTATGTCTCTAAGTAGTCTACAATTCTGTACAACAACAATATCAATAATCATATTTTCATATTTCGTATTACTTGTCACCACAGTTCATGGTGAGCAAGAAAAGGATCCTTAGCACGGAAATGCTCTCCTCCCTGGTGGAAATAATGCAAAAGCCCCTTTCTAAATGCCTGAGCCTAATCTTCCTTCAAGAGCTCTGTGCACTCATGTTGAGTCACTTCAGCCTTAGAGCCAAATTTTTCATGACAGCCCATTCCTATCACCCTGGCCCTCGGGAAACTTTTCTAAGACAGCATATTCCTGTCACCTGGCCCGCAGACAAATTTTTCATGACGTGACACTCACAGCACCTGGATTAAAAGGGTTAATAAGGAGACATATCATTCCCAAAACAAATTTATAGAACTCTTTCACCTAGAATACTTTGTAGAGGAGAGAACAGTATCATGACCACTCACAGAAGAAAAGAGAAATTCAAAAAAGGTAGAATTTTTCCTCAGAAAGTAATTGCACTTTCAAGGGTGAAATGAGAATGCCCTCACTTTCTCCTTAGAAATCATTAGGAACATACCAGCACTGAACATGGTCTTATATGAAACTAATAATGGACAAGTCTATATGACAAGCATCAATCTTTTTTATAACATCAGGCTATAATTATCAAGAACAGAAGTATATCACACTGTAAATATTATCTGAGATAGTTAATGAGAAAGAAATGGTGAAGAGAAAACTATATACATACATTAATGAAAATGTTGTTATCTGTAAAACACTATTATCCTCTGTGTGTGTGTGTGTGTGTGTGTGTGTGTGTGTGTGTGTGTGTGTGTGTGTGTGTGTGTGTGTGTATGTGTGTGTGTGTATGTGTGTGTGTGTATGTGTGTGTGTGTAGGTGTAGGTGTAGGTGTGTAGGTGTAGGTGTGTAGGTGTAGGTGTGTAGGTGTAGGTGTGTAGGTGTAGGTGTGTAGGTGTAGGTGTAGGTGTGTAGGTGTAGGTGTGTAGGTGTAGGTGTGTAGGTGTAGGTGTGTAGGTGTGTAGGTGTGTAGGTGTGTAGGTGTGTGTGTGTGAAGGTGTGTGTGTGTGAAGGTGTGTGTGTGTGTGTGTGTAGGTGTGTGTGTGTAGGTGTGTGTGTGTGTGTGTAGGTGTGTGTGTGTGTAGGTGTGTGTGTGTGTCGGTGTGTGTGTAGGTGTGTGCGTGTGTAGGTGTGTGCGTGTGTAGGTGTGTGCGTGTGTAGGTGTGTGCGTGTGTAGGTGTGTGTGTGTAGGTGTGTAGGTCTGTGTGTGTAGGTGTGTGTGTGTAGGTGTGTGTGTGTGTGTAGGTGTGTGTGTGTAGGTGTGTGTGTGTGTAGGTGTGTGTGTGTAGGTGTGTGTGTGTAGGTGTGTGTGTGTGTGTAGGTGTGTGTGTGTAGGTGTGTGTGTGTGTGTGTAGGTGTGTGTGTGTGTAGGTGTGTGTGTGTGTAGGTGTGTGTGTGTGTGTGTGTAGGTGTGTGTGTGTGTAGGTATGTGTGTGTAGGTATGTGTGTGTAGGTATGTGTGTGTGTAGGTATGTGTGTGTGTAGGTGTGTGTGTGTGTGTAGGTGTGTGTGTGTGTAGGTGTGTGTGTGTGTGTGTGTGTGTGTAGGTGTGTGTGTGTAGGTGTGTGTGTGTGTAGGTGTGTGTGTGTAGGTGTGTGTGTGTGTAGGTGTGTGTGTGTGTAGGTGTGTGTGTGTGTAGGTGTGTGTGTGTGTAGGTGTGTGTGTGTGTAGGTGTGTGTGTGTGTGTAGGTGTGTGTGTGTGTAGGTGTGTGTGTGTGTAGGTGTGTGTGTGTGTAGGTGTGTGTGCGTGTGTGTAGGTGTGTGTGTGTAGGTGTGTGTGTGTGTAGGTGTGTGTGTGTAGGTGTGTGTGTGTGTGTGTGTGTGTGTGTGTAGGTGTGTGTGTGTGTGTAGGTGTGTGTGTGTGTGTAGGTGTGTGTGTGTGTAGGTGTGTGTGTGTGTAGGTGTGTGTGTGTGTGTAGGTGTGTGAGAGAGGGGGAGAGATAATAATCAATAATAATTTAGTTTGATTCCATTTGTTACAATGGATATTCTTGGTGTGACATACTGTCGGTTTTATTCTGCTTCTAAATTATCCCCTATGTGCAAGGAATGACCGGGGTTACCATCCACTGGTGGCGAGGGATTCGAACGCAGGTCAGCAAATTGCTAGACAAGATTGCTACCGCTGCACCACACAGCACAAAGAGAGAGGGGGAAAGAGAGAGGGGGTGAGAGAGAGAGAGAGAGAGAGAGAGAGAGAGAGAGAGAGAGAGAGAGAGAGAGAGAGAGAGAGAGAGAGAGAGAGAGAGAGAGAGAGAGAGAGAGAGAGAGAGAAAGAGAGAGAGAGAGAGCCTTGGAAAGGAACAGTTTAACATCAATACTACCACTCAAACTTTTAGCATCGATGAAAAACAATGATAATCCCCCAAAACAAACACACACACACTGTTTCTTTCCCACTCTTTTTTTTTTTTTTTAATCTCTCTCTCAATCTCAATCTCAATCTCTCTCTCTATCTGTCTCTCTCTCTCAATATCTCTCCCTTTCTCTCTCTTTTTTTGTCTTTTTCTCTCTCTAACTCTGTCTGTCTCTCCACAAATAATAGTCTGGTCAACTGTTTTTCATAGATACATAGATACACACACCCCCCCCATAATCCACTTGCACAGTGAAGGCAAGTCTCAAGCTATCCAAACAATTCCCAGTGTCTACGATGCCCAGTGACTGTCAAAACAAATGGCTTACACAACAGATATAAGTAAATTTGAATATATGCAAGAAATAAAATTGACATGAGTTTGTACCTGTGACTTCTTCGGACAGCTAAAGATGTAATATGGCCATGAGGATCTTCTTCACTCTCTTCTTCCATCTTTGCTAGCACATACCTATGGAAATAAAATAAAACATTATCACACTATCAAAAGACATTACTGCTTCTCTGTTTCAAACCATGAGTAAATTTGTTTGATGAATTATTGTATATACAAATTTGTACTT